CGCTTCCAAAAATTTAGCATCCATTCCTAAGAAAAAAGTTAAATATGTAGGAAGAACTATTTAAAATATTTTCTAAATTAATAGAAAATATTCTGAACAGTAAAATACTGATTTTTATTTTTGATTAAAATAAGAACTGGACTAGAACGCTCACTATGCCCATTACTTTTCAACATTATTTTGAAACTTCTAGAAGGTTTAGTAAATGCAATAAACCTTTTTTTACTATAAAAATGACACATATAAACTGTAAGACTAGAAAATCTGTATAAAAATTGGAAGAGAACAGATAAACTTATCCTTTTATTAATAATAATGAGTGCATGACAAGAAAATCAGACAGCTTTCTTTAAGAAACAACAAAAATAATCTGACAGTATGAATATAAGATTTTCTCAAAATTATAGCTTTTCCCTATAACAGTAATAAACACGTAACGGAAATGGAAAATATACTTTACACAAAATAGTGTAAAAACTATAACATACTTAATAACAAATTTAATGGAAAGGCACATGACCATATGAAGAGAACTATAAAATCTTATTGAAGGAATAAAATAAAATTTGAACAAATACAAGACATACCATATCTTGGATGGGAATACTAATATCATAAAAATGACAGCTCTCCCAAAATATAAAATGTCGATGAATATAAAAATTCCCATTAGAATTCCAATAAAGCTATTTTTTTCTCAGAATAGGATAAAATAACCTTAAAGTTCATATGAAAGAATAAAGTTCTGCGAATAGCCAAAAATAGTATGTAAAAGAACAGCAGCAAGAGGGGGGCTTGCCTTACTTGATATTAGAACATACCAAAAAAAACACTGTAATTAAGTCAACCTGAAATTGGCAAAGAAATAGACAAAACGATCAGAACAAAAAAGAGAATCCAGAAATGGATCTCAGTATATATGAGCTTTTAACATATGACAAAGGTAGTATTTAAATTCAATGGGAAAAGGAAGGTACTAGCACAACTGGATATTCATCTGTGAAAAAAATTAATCTCTACCTCACAATATATGGAATATCTACACAATATATTTAAGAATAACTCTAAATGTATTAAAGATTTAATTTTACAAGTAAAATAATATAAATCTCAAAAGGAAACTTAGAAAATATATGTACAACCAACGTATAGGAGAGATCTCTTAAGCCGAGACAGAGCGCCCAGAAGATATAAAAGAAAACACAGAGTTATACAATATAACAAATATAAACTTTTTGTATAAGGTATACTAAAAGTCAAGATGTAATTGACAGATTTGGAAAAAATACCAAGGACTCAAAAATTTATGAAAAAATGCAAGAAACAACAAAAATACAGATAAAGTATATGAATAGGCAAATTCACAGAAGAATACACTAAATGGCTAATAAACTCAAAAAAAGATGTTCGCTTTCACTTGCAGCTCAAACTAAGCTCTTGTATTGAGGCTAATGAAAAGTAAAGTAACACTGAAGTGTCATAGTCATCAGATTAACAAAAATCACACAGAAAAAGATGATGCCCATTGCCAGCAGGGATTCAGGGTAAGAAGTAATGCCACATGTTATTTGAGTGCTTTGGGAAAACAACTGATATCTCTTAAAATTAAAATTATATATACCCTTTGACTCATAAATCCCATTCCTGAAAATTTAATCCACAGAAATAAAAACATCATAAATATAAGGATATACACATATATAAATATTTACTGCAGTATTGTGCATAGTGGCAAAAGAAACAAAAAAACAAAGCCAGAGTAAATAGGGTAATGGTTGAAAAATATGGTACACCCCCACCATGGACTATTATGGAACCACTAAAAGAGTGGATTGAAAAGACTTGTACATTAAACATTAAACAACATGGGCCGGCCCGGTGGCTTAGTGGTTAAGTGCGCGCGCTCCACTACTGGCGGCCCGGGTTCGGATCCCGGGCGCGCACTGACGCACCGCTTCTCCGGCCATGCTGAGGCCGCGTCCCACATACAGCAACTAGAAGGATGTGCAACTATGACATACAACTATCTACTGGGGCTTTGGGAAAAAAAGGAGGAGGATTGGCAATAGATGTTAGCTCAGAGCCGGTCTTCTTCAGCAAAAAGAGGAGGATTAGCACAGATGTTAGCTCAGGGTTGATCTTCCCCACAAAAACAAAACCAAAACCAAAAAAACAACATTAAACAACAAAAACAAGATGTAGAGTCATATATATAATATCCACTCCAATTTTGTAAAACAGCAATTAAAACTCAATGTACACATATATATATATTAATATATGTATATAGTGATATCCATGACATACACATAGAGACCATGGGAAAAAATAGACAGATACACATCAGATATTTAACATGGGTGAGTGGGTGACTAGGGGTCATGTGGACATGTGTTTTGTGTTTGGGTAGAATCTTAGTTCAGGCTGCTATTAACAAAACACCATAGACTGGGTGTCTTATAAACAACAGAAATTTGTTTCTCACAGTTCTGGAGGCTGGCAAGTCTGAGATCAAGGCACCAGCATGGCTGGGGTCTGCTGAGAGCCTGTATTCTGGTTCACAGACAGTCATCTTTTCACTATAACCTCACATGGTGGAAAGACGAGGATCTCCCTGGGGCCTCTTTTATAAGGGAACTAATCCCATTCATGAGGGCAGAGCCCTAAATCATCTCCCAAAGGCCTCACCTCCAAACACCATCACGTTGGGGATTAGGTTTCAACATATGAATCTGGAGGGGACACAAACATTCAGTCTATAGCTGGTGGTTTTTTGGCAGAGTAGTGGGGGAGAAGGGTTTAAGGAAGAAGACAAGCCTAAAAGTAAAAAGAAGGAAAAAAACTTCACCTAAAATTGCTCCAGTATTTTGTTAAAATTCTGTTTTTGTAAATATATGTGTTTATATGTGCGTCTTTATGTGTATATGTGTGTGTGTGTGTGTATGTATAGAGAAAGAGAGATGAATAAGAATAAACTGTGCTATTACACATAAATACCAATTTTAACCAAAACTTACATTAAATACCAAAACTTTTTCATTACAAATGTTGATTGAAAACCTTTCTAAAATTTATCACACGATCCTACTTTATTACATAGGCTCTAATAATCACAACAATATATTTTACTGATGATTTGGCATCAAAATGGCATAAAGGAAAAAAGCACATGCACTGGAGCCTGGCGGACTTTTATTCAAACCTGCTTTACCACTTCTCTTATGGTGCTCGGCAGGTCTGTTCCCCTTTCTAAGCCTCAGTTTCCTCATCTGTTAAATGGAAATAGCATTAGTGGAAAGTAACATAGCGCACTCAACAATTCTCATTATTAACTTCAGTTATGAACTGTAATATGGAGCTGTGCTTGGGTAAATGACTGCTCATACACAGAAGACATAAGCTAGCTATGTGTTTTTACTTAGTTTGTCCCTTTTTACAGCTGCACTATTTCTCTTCTGCCCTCCTTTTACATGGAGTAGTGAGAAAGAGCTGTTTATGAATCCAAACATAGTGACCATACAGGCAGGATGGTAGCTAATATGACATCACTCAGCTATATTCCAGAATCAAAGAGCAAACTATCAGCTTTCACTTCTCCTTGCTGTCAGTGTGTCTACCCTAACACTAATCCTCTCAATTCCCCTTCTAATTTATTAAAAATGAGCACAAAGACAATGGGTAAGAGCCTAGTCTCTACAATGAAGAGAAAAGTATATGAGTTTTAGTACATAAATATTATGACATCTTTTGCGTACAGCTGGGTTCTTAGCTATATACTGTACACTCGCAATTACTACCTAGGGAGAGATCATTAGGTGGCGAGAGGGGAAAAAAACTCCCTGCAACCCAAAAGTTGGTGAGCACATCCAAAACTTAAAAGAATATAGATAGTTACGCCCTTATATATCTCATCCCATCTGTTTTCTAAATATTACCCTAAGAATAATTTATTTGATGTAAGCATTTCCCTTTCAAAATTGAAATGTTACAGAAGAAAGTATTTTCTATGAAAGTTGGGGGAGAGGGGGAAATTTGCCTTCAGGAAACCAAATAAAAATCTTCCAGAAAAATCTACGTAAGGCGGAAGATTAAAAGGCACAAAATCCTGAAATCTCACCAGATGTTACGTGGAAGGCAGTGACAGAAAGAAAAGAGGCGGGTGAACGTTCACAGATCTGATTGCATTTTCAACACTTTTCAGATAATGGCCTAGAAATTTTTTATAACTCTCATTTTACCAGATTGCAAACCAATAACAGGAACAACAAAACCCTAGTCTTTTGTGGGGCTGGCCCGGCGGCATAGTGGTTAAGTTCGCACACTCCACTTTGGTGGCCCAGGGTTCGCAGGTTCGGATCCCAGGCATGGACGCTTAACAAGCCATGCTGTGGCAGGCGTCCCACATATAAAAATAGAGGAAGATGGGCACAGATGTTAGCCCAGGGCCATCTTTCTCAGCATAAAGAGGAGGATTGGCAACGGATGTTAGCTCAGGGCTAATGTTCCTCACCAATAAAAAAAAAAAAAACTCTAATCTTTTGTAACCTGAAGAATAGTTCAATTTGATCAATCAAAACAGCATTTATTATCTGATTAACATATACGATATGCATTGTGATAAGGCTAATACAAAGATCAATGAAAATATAATTCTTGCCTAAAGGAGCTCTCAGTTTGGAGGTGCTGAGGGGAGAGAGAATCAGACAATGAAGAACTAATTATAACACAGTAAGTGCTCAATAAATGCTAGCTATTAATTGCACAGGCAGTGGTAGGAGGACTTGAAATAAAAACACGAGTCTCTATAGAGTGTTTAGAACAATGTCCTTTGAACACCACACATTAAGAAGTGTGGACTTCATTCTGTATGTGATGGCTCAAAGATTTCTAAGCCAAATAAGTGACAAAACAAAAGGTCACCCTGGTAGCAACGTGGCAGATGAATGTTACTAAAGCAATGTAAAAGATTATAAAGCAGTAAAATATACTGGTTAAGAACAGGACCTAGATTGTCTGGGTTTGAATACAGGCTAACATGAACTAGTTGTGTGACCATGGATAAGCTACTTGACTGTGCCTAATTTCCTCATCTGTACACAGGAACAGGGATAGTTCTTACCACATAGGGTTGTTGTGAGAATTAAAAGAGTTAATGAATGTAAAGCACTTAGAATAGTTCCTGGCACAAAGTAAGTGCTCAATAAATAATAGCTATTAATTGCATGAAGGAAAAATTGAAAGTAGGGAGACTAGTTAGGAGGTCAAGAAATAGTCCAGGAGAAAAGAGAGGTATGCTCACTTGGATGCCTGAGATGATGATAACACTATTAGACAAACTAGGGAAAAGAAAAGGAAGAGGAAGATTAAGCCAATGAGTGCAACTCTGGACATGTTAGGGTTGAGGTTCCTACAGAACATGAAAGTATAACTGTCTAATGGTCATTGAAAAATACAGATCAGAAATCCAAAAGAGAGGTATAAACTAGAGATGTAGATTTGAGAGTTATTTACATGTGGATATGTTTGTTAAAATTGTGGTAATAGAAGAGAGTACTCAGAAAGAGTAACGCAGGGCCGGCCCCATGGCTTAACGGTTAAGTGCGCGCGCTCCGCTACTGGCAGCCCGGGTTCGGATCCCGGGCGCGCACCGACACACTGCTTCTCCGGCCATGCTGAGGCTGCGTCCCACATACAGCAACTAGAAGGATGTGCAACTATGACATACAACTATCTACTGGGGCTT